CCCCCCCCCCCCCCCCCCCAATGTTGATGGCTTCACGACGTCCCTGGAGATTTGTCAGCTAAAAAAAAATTGCATGTGATTTGTTATGGGGGCAAGTCGTAGGCCATGTCTATCAGTTCTATCATGATGTCAGTTCCATATTGCTGCTTAATATTTTGTGAGGTTTTTTGTAAATGAGGAGGCTATTTAGTATCAGAGGTACAAGCTCCTTCATTCATGCACGGTCATGATTTTCTGTGTGGTTTCCATGCATGTCTTGATGATAAATAATGAGAGAGACACATATTATGATTTAAAAAACATCCTTTAATCATGATTATTAATTATACAATTAAAAGAATTCGAATTTAATATATATATGAGCACACGATGTGGTTGACCAAGTACGACTTAAATTAATCTCTATACTTTACAATGATAAAAATCTATATAAACTAGTATATAAGCTACTACTTATAAATAGGAGAAATATATTCATGCACAAAACGGCATGAAGATTTTAACTAGATTTTTACATTTCTACATAATATTATTAAGTTCTAGGGTTCTAGTTTACAGTAGGCCTATCTAAGCAAGTTTAATCATGCGCCGAAGCTAACGTTAATGACTTAAACTTATTGTTCCAGCTCCTTGGCTCGGCACATGAAAAGTTCGACTTGTGAACCAGGTCTTCGTACTTACTTATGTTTTATACTGTAATCTCATTTCTATTTTTTCTGCTGCAACGTTGACAAAAATGATCCGCGTCATCACTTTTACAGCCAAGCAAAGCGTAAAGAAATCCTTTCTTTCGACCGCAAAGAGTAATGTCCACAATTAATATAGCAAATAGTACCAACGACAGTAGAAAGGCGGCGAGGGTAACTTTTCCTGAAGCAATGTAAACTAGAATCTCATAATTTGCATCTAAACAGAAACATAAGAATTCATGTTAATTTATCAATTCTCTATTGCATAAATTCTGATACCCTCTCTATCAATCCCCCCGTCTAATAAGCCCCCTCTCCAATAAGCCCCCTCTCGATCTTGCCTCTTCTCTAATAAGCTCCCTCCCTATTAAGTTCCTTCTCTAGTAAGCTTCTCTCTTCTCTAATAAGCTACTCTAATACGCCATCTGGCCAATATGACCCGCTTCTCTTAAGCTTCCTTGACCACGCCCACATAACTGAAAAACGTATTTCTAATAATTAGATTTATAAATCGTCCTGGAAGTTCAGTTGAACGAACTTGAGTCTGAACGAACTTGAGCAATGAAAATGTAGTTCGTCTGATATCTGTGTACAAATACAGCAAACAAGAGAATCGTTCATCAAGATGGATTATATCCGCCCTACTAAGTTTCATCTTTAATACGCTTCTCTCTCTAATAAACCCACTCTATTATGCCCCTCCTCTAATACGCTATCTGACCAATCGTCTTGGTTGGTAACAGCGAAGATTGTTTTGACAAGTGATTTCTTACCTTGATCACTTGAGTTTCCAACTGGAGTTTCTGAGGATGAGCTTTTGAGCTTCTGAGGATTATTTTTACCTTGTTGTTGTGTTTTAGCTCCGTCATAAGCCTTGCATGAAATATCATTTGTTAGCGGGACATTAACGGAACTACCGGACAGCATGGAAGTTTGCTTGTTAGACGTTTCGTTTTTCACCACTACGCAGCCAGGTAAGCACTGTTGGTACGCCAGATATTTATATTGTAAGTCAACGTTGAAATGTTTTGGATGGAGTTTGTATCTTGGTTGAGCATTGTTGCAAACGTTACACACACGTATCAGATTGACTGTATTTTTCGAATACTTCGCTTTGAAATAAGCTGCCGACACTGCAAGAAAAATTCATACGGATTAAAGTTACCGTGTAAAGATCACCTTTCCTTGCAGCGGAGACCTGAATTACGTGAAATGTCACTGAGTCGAAGGTTGACCAATGCGCCTCGGGTTCTCGCCATGGGGTGCAGCTATGGTGGATTAGTTACTTTTTTATGGCAGAGGAAGACCCGGGGCAGAAATCACGGAGGCAGAAATCCACCTGACGAATAACAAACACGCGCAGCTGTTTTATCCGTTGCCAGCATTGCTCATCACGTCAGCAAGAGCGATGCCGACAAAGACGCTTCGCGCGAACAAATTCGTCAGGAGTGGAAAACGCCCTTTACACGAGTTTTCAAGCGCATCAAGTAAGAATATACCCTAACCTTGATATTCAAAATAGCAGGTTTAACTCAGTGCTGAGGGGAGAGCTCCCGTGTTCTCCTGGTTGTATTTTAATTTCATCAACTTCTACAGGGTGTCCCAAAAAACCCAAAACTATTGAAATAGCGTATTGTTAGAATTTGAATGCCTCAGCACTCTGCTGAACCCACAAGTGCATAAAAGCTTGACATAAGTAAATTTTATGCATAAAGAAACTATTTAAGAAACTGCTTTAAATTCCCAAGAGCAGAAAATCGTGCGCTTCACCGAAAGGGATTTTAATTTCTTAATAAGTCAATATTTAAGTTCTTTGTATGTTTGCATGGCGATAAATCATATAATACTTTTGTTTGTGGAAACACCACGTAAATTTATTACTGCATATGCAAGTCAATATTTATAATATATGCACCCTGTCAATATTTTACGCATATTTGCGTTCAGATTAGTGCTAGTATATGCAAATTCAGCAATACGTTATTTCAATAGTTTTGAGGTTTGGGGGGACACCCTGAATATAAACATGTTTTATGACTATAACAATAAAACTAAAAAAGAAATTTTCTTAAAAACGAAAGAAAGTTGATCACAAAACATATTCAATTTAGGTAATTGCACGGTATTAATTGGAGCGTTTGCACTCATTCCCCAGGGACCAACTCAACAAAAGCCATGGCGGCCATGTTGGTGTTCCAGACAAAAGAGTCTAATTAAAATTCTTTTGAATGGACAAATTCCATGTTAGACTAAATTTTAATCTAAGTAAAGAGAAGGGAATCAAACACCACAGATAAAAAGAACATAATGAAATTAGTAAAATTGCAAAATTTGGTTGCGCAATGTTTTAAAATACGGAAAATATAGTCTTGCAAAGTTCGCAAATTTTGTATGTGCATGTTTGTCAACCTCGTTCCCAGGGATTTTCCCTTTTTGTCATTGGGAAGGCGGGAAAAGGGCCTGGCATTCCCTGGCACCCGGCGGTTTTCTATGACAAAAAGGGAAAAGCCCTGGCAACGAGGTTGTGTGTTTGTATTACGTGCTACCATAATATTACCATATTCGGCTCAAAAATGGTAACAATTTCCGCACGTAATGATACAAACAAACAAAATATGCAAACTTCGCAAGGCTATATTTTCCGTATTTTACAACAATTCGCAACCAAATTTTGCAATTTTACTAATTTTAATAAGTTCTTTACGGGAATTTACGTTTTTTTGCCTAGGTCAAAAAGTAGTCTAACATGCAAGTTGTCTATTGGAACACCAACATGGCGGCTGTGACGTCATGTGCAAACGTGCTCTATTTGCTCAGTGTATTAAAGCTGGACTAACCTTCGTTATTAGTTATGGTTTTATACAGTCTACCATTCGGGGGTCCATTCCTGTACGTCAATTTCCCACATTGACAAGACGTGTGATTATAGACGACATATTTATAAAACTTCTTTTTATTGCTGGAATCGCGATCTTTGTTTGTTATATCCGGAACCACTATCTCAATTTCGTTCGTTGTTTTTGGAACCGGGTACGCAGACGGTCCACTGCTAGAGCATTCGCCAACTTCAACTTTAACACAGCGATAAACTTCGATGAAATATTGAGGTCTGGATGGCGGGGTGGTAAAGTCATCTTTGTATATTGAGATCACTTCTCTTTGCGGTTCTAAAACAAAAGAATCGGGCATTGGTATAGGTTTGAGTAAACTATATTTCTTTATTTACTTCTATAGATACAAGCTGCATGTACTGCATACCTAACTATAAACCAAATTAAACTATAGATTTATCTATTCATTTCATTGGTTCGACTATTGTTTCAAGTATTATAATACGATGCAAGAAATATATGTAAAAATAATTATTAAAGTTTCGAATTACCTGTTATTTCCTGACTAGATTCCACAACTGCCAGTATGCTGAACAATAGCAAAATGTTCAGCCCAACGTGTTTGAAGTTTAAAATCTTGATATCTAAAGAACATGATCGATGAAAAAATTAATTTGATCCAATCTTCCAATTTATCAATTCTATGATTCTAGATTCCCTTATTACGTTTTCGTAGCGCTTTGCATTGTGGTTATAGTGGTATCACTGATAATGATAGCGACCTCGAATGAAAATATTGAATGTTTTCGCGAATATTTTGCTGTTGGCTATCGCGCACCTGACCTTAGCTTTTTTTAAAAGTTCTTGCACGGGTCAGGACAAAAAATAAGCCATCTTGAATATCAGTGATACCACTATAACCACAATGCAAAGAGCTACGAAAACGTAATAAGGGAATCGTCAATTCAGCCCTACCAGATGATCAAAACTTGTATCCTGTATTATGATTTGATTTAATTGATCTAGGCAAGAAGAACAAAATCCATCACCACAGCTAGTAAGAGCATGTTAAAATTAGTAAAATTGCAAAGTTTGGTTGCGAGATCAGATGTTGTAAAATGAGGAAAATATAGCCCTACGAAATTTGCAAATTTGTGTCACGAGAAAATTAATGCACTACTTTCGCCCAAATCTGGTGCATTTTCCCGTGCGTAATAGCTACAAATTAATACAAAATTTGCAAATTTCGTAGGGCTTTATTTTCCGCAATTTTGCAATTTTACTAATTTTAACATATGACGGCGATATGCTCTTTCTAGCTATGGTGATGGATTTTGTTCTTCTTGCCTAGGTAAAAATTTAGTCTTTTGCTGAAATCATCCATTATGATCTTGTCTGGTCTAACTGTTACAGTTGATTTCACATAACTTTTCCGTGAATGTTGCGAACTTCGTTCCGAGCTTCGTTGTGAAGTTCAAAAGTTCATACTGAAATTCGCAAGCCGGTTTGTAAACAAAGCCTCTGATTGGTCCCTTAACAAAAATAAGCCAATTAGAGGCTTTGTTTACTAACCGGCTTGTGAATTTCAGTATGAACTTTTGAACTTCACAACGAAGTTCGGATAGATATATATATATATATATAAATATATATATATATATATAAATATATATATATATATATATATATATATATATAAATACCAGAGCATATTTAAATTAAGGTACAACAAATCAACAAAATCCACTAGGCATCTTTATCTTTTAGGTCAATTTATCTGAAGAGTGCCACATACTGTGGTACGAAACTATTTAGTAATAAAGATGCCTAGTGGATTTTGTTGATTTGTTGTACCTTAATTTATATATATATATATATATATATATATATATATATATATATATATATATATATATATATATATATACATATATATATATACATATATATATATATATACATGTATAGGCGAATGTCAATAAGTATATAACTGAGTGTCGAATCATACGAATAGAGTGCTCGATATGGAAGTAGAGCAAATAAAAGACAAACTTGAGTTACTTCGTTTAATAAAACATTTATTCACGACAAATTTGTTTCGTATGGCAAACTAGGCTTGCCACACTCATCAGGTGAATGATGATATCGCGTATTTACATGATGTTGTAACCTAGGTAACTTGAGCTATTATATACAAATGTTTGACGTCATTAGGAAAGCGTAAATATATGTCTGTATAATCTGACTACTGACTACAGAGCAGGAATTCTTTCCTGTACCTACTGCGGATATTAGTTCGTTTCTTGAGTTCAATGAGCTTAATTTGGGATAGTAAATTATAATGAACTTTTCGTGCAGGCATAATTTACAACGTTTTGTTTGAGTAGGCCTTACATTTCTTCAAAATTTTCCAGCGAACAGAGTATTCTATGTTGGACTGTTTCAACTGCCAAATATATTTACTCAGTTCAGTTGAATGTTTATGTTCCGGGTTCCTGAACGAGCCTGTATGGTTGTAGTATCTCACATTAAATGGGCCCGCTGTAGTGACATAGAATACTCTGTTCGCTGAAAAATTTTAAAGAAATGTAAGGCCTACTCAAACAAAACAAAACGTTGTAAATTATGCCTGCACGAAAAGTTCATTATAATTTACTATACCAAATTAAGCTCATTGAACTCAAGAAACGAACTAATATCCGCATGTAGGCACAGGAAAAAATTCCTGCTCTGTAGTCAGTAGTCAGATTACAGACATATATTTACGCTTTCCTAATGACGTCAAACGTTTGTATATAATAGCTCAATATATATATATATATATATATATATATATATATATATATATATATATATATATATATATATATATATATATATCACGTTTCACAACTCTCTCTTACTTCAAGTCGTATTTTGAGATCAACTGTAAGTTGTTCGAAGTTAGGACAATTTGTGCATTAAAATTGAAGAATGAATTGACTAAAAACTTGTCAAAACCTTCGGAAACTTGCAGAACTTACCTTCAAATGCGAATTGAAGTTTCCCATTTGAGGTTACCGGTCTGCCATACTGTCAATCTTATAACCTCTCAATCTTAAAATTATAGAGGCAGATGACTGCCTTTAGAAACGGATGTAAATTGGTGGATTAATTAAATCTTTCTATATAAAATATCATGCAATCATGAAAAAATTGAAAATAAATTAATGTTTAATCAATAGCTGTATCGGATGATTTCGTCCTGATTTACACAAACTTTCGATTTTCTCGCCTATAAAACGTCCATATCGCCAAACTATAATTGGTAAACTTTATTACTTGTATTTATTTGTTACACCTACTGCTCGTGCTTCATTCATTACTTAAACAATTCTCATTCTCACACCGTCCTGGAGGTGGATCCTGAGGAACCCTTTCCCTAGCAAGAAGATTGAGGAAGATTTATCATTATCGAGATCGACTTGCATGTGGGCAAGTCTAATCTGTCATTTGAGATACGTCATAAATACAGTGAAGTATACTTTCAGCTGTTGCATACAAAATGCGTAATGTACAGACTTGACATTCCCATTGCTTTTGCCTCAAGTCGTGGGGCTGTGTGTTATACGTAGTACTTTCCAAGACTGAGAGAATGCATCTCAAAATAAATTTTATTTCTTGTTATATAACATTAACCAACTTATGCAAGCTAATACAACTTGACAGATATTGTGGAGATTATAGGAAAATGATAGCAATGATCACTGTTAGTGAATCATAATGAAATATATGTTTGAGTGAATATATATGTGAACGACTATGCCTATATATATGGTCTCTCAATAAATGAAATTATAGAATCAAGGACAAGATACATCAAAAAGATTTTAAAAATATATAGTTAAATTTAGACTCACCCATGTAATGACTTGAAAAATTGTACTTATCCTCTTTCGTCCAGGTCAATAATGCAATTGATTCCTCGAATCGGTCGCCACCGAATTTATAGATGCTCTACAGTGGAATAATTTCGAAATCTTACTAAAGGGTTTTCCCCGTTACTTACTAAAGGGTTTTCCCAGACATTACATAAGAAAGGAACAGATGGAACGTCGCTGACCAAAAAATCGCGGGCAGAAACAATTAAAGCTCCATTGCATTTACATTCAAAACAAAGCAGAAAGTTAGCAAGAAGTTGTTTTAGCTGACGATTTTTTGCTTTCTATTCAACGATTTACAAATTAACGGTTATTCTTTCAAAAAACGATCATGAATTATTTGTTTTGGGATGATTTTTTTTGTAATCGAGTGATTGGAAGAAGTGAATATGGCGCCGTGTATTCGGTACATGTGAGGCCTGTTTTAATGTATTCGGTACATGTGAGGCCTGTTTTATACGTCGAATTTTGGTCGTGTCGAATGCAATTAAGACAATAGATAATGAGATGATAAACCTCGTTAAGCTTCATTATCTATTGTCTGAATTGCATTCGACGCGACCGAAATTCGACGTATAAAACAGGCCTAAAGTACGGCGTATGAAACGGGCCTAAGTCTTTGAGACTGATCGAAGGTGAACTTCCTTCATGAAAACCGCCTCGAGAAGGATCTAGTTTGAAAATTTAGCTCTTAATGTCCACTATTTCATTAGCATATTTTGGTTACACGTTAAATATTTTTATACTTGATGAGATTCAAAATATGTTGTATATTCAAGCCCGGCTTCAGTGTAATTTTGATGATGACCGGAAAAGAAATGAAGATATTTTAAAAACTGGCCGTGGCCTCACAATAAAACTTTCTAAAAATGTTCTCTGTTTCATGTATTTTTATTTGATATCTTAGGAATAAGCGTAAAAATAAGGCCTCATACAGTTTACGAGGTTATAAAATGCATGACTTGTCGCTATTTTCATGTAAACATTCGAAATATTTCGACAGCAAAGACAAAGTAGCAGTTGTTTCAGATCGAATCACGGACAGTACACCAGGGACGATGGCAGGCCGCTGAAATAGAACGTCACTAAAAAATTCTGTATGATTAATTCAGATCATGTCTATTTTCAACATAAAACAGTTATTTATTTTGTACTAAACATTTGGCAATATTTACACAATTAATTGCTCCTTTTTGTATAAACACGCGTTGCGTGTATTCCACGCAATTGCGTGGCTCATTACATTTTCGCATGAATAATTTCATGACAATTTTCTAAAACTATATTCTGGCTTGTGTCTATTGACGATAATAAAAAATACAACTATCTACTAGAGTCGAAACCAAGGTCCAAGGAAAAGCCATCTTTGTGCACCGTCATATCACATATGTTATACAGGAAGTACTGTTCACTGTCACTGCAGAAAATTCTGAATAGA